CACTGGATGCCAGCGGACATCTGTGCCCCTCAGCCGACCGTTGCGCCCGCCCACGTTCCCGGCCAGCAGCCTGGGGCCTTGCCCGAGGTCTCCCCGCCGGCAAACATCCAAGCTGAGCTTTGAACCACGGTAGTCCGATTCCGGAGGCCAGGCACGGAGCCCCTTTGCTTTTTCGCAGACTAGGCAGCTTTCATACAAACAGACGTGGGAGCCGTTGCCGAGCTCCCTGGAGGCTCGTCTCTGCGGGCAGTGTACTGCACCTGCGCGCTGGACTGGCCCAGCACACCCCGGTCATGTGCCCTTGGCTCTGAAGCCTGGCTTCTGCCGTTTCCTGGCTGCGTGACCTCAGGCGGGTTATGCAACCTCTCCCAGCCTCAGAGTAGTCCTCTGCAAAGTGGGATTGTTAGTAATTCCTTCCTTTGACATTTGTTACAAGGCTTAAGAGACAAGTGGTGCAAAGCCCTAGTAGAATGTTTGACACAGGCAAGCACTCGATATTTTAGTATTTACTCATATTGGTTAACTGAAGGATTACAAACCCCATTTCTACTGTTTCTATGAGCCTCAACATGGGGGGATAATAGGTCTCTTCTTAGTGCTGAACGAGGACCCCAGGGGTTAGCATGGACTTTGTCATTATGCCTTAGGGTGAGGCAGCAGTCGAATTCCACCCTTACATAAACACCCTTCCAAATTCGAATTAAAAAATAGTGTTCTTAAGCATCTTTCATGCCCCAAATGTACTCACTCGTGAACTGGGACTGGCGGCCCCCCAGCCCGCACTGCCGCACCTTACACCCGCGGAAGAGCCCGTAGTAAATGTCCCCGATGAACTTGACCAGCTCTGGATCGGTGGCGTTGACCAGGTCCACTCCAGTCTGACAAAGGATTTTCCCGCTCAGCCAGTGGGGCACCGCCAGGGCCACGATGATCAGGACGAAGGAGGAGAAGCTGAGTAAGGACGCCAGCCCGAACCACACCTTTTTGAACCATCCAGGCATTCTAGTGGGCGCAGGTCATCCCCGAGGTGTCCCAGCTGCAGCGGGGACCGTGGACATCTCCCGGGCGCTCGGCAAGCCTCGCGTCCAAGGGCGGCTCTTCCGAACACACCATTTCAAGGTCCCAAGTCCGCCCGCAGGTCCTCCCGCCGTGCCTGCGCCCGCAGCCCGTGTTTGCTACGAGCACATCCGGAAGTCTCTGCAGAGACAGCCTTCACCTGACCGTGTGGCGGCGTGCGTTACTGAAGGAAGCAACCCGACACCTCCCACCGGACTAATGTTTCAGCCGAGGGTTTAATTGTTCCTCCTTTCAAGTGTTTAAATGACCCCGGTGTGGACCTCTTCAGGCCGAGGACGACATCATTAGCAGGCACAGCCAGGCAGCTCGGACCATACAGAGACGCTGACGATTCTCAAAAATGCATTCAGTGGAAGGAGACAGGTGGAATCGTTGGCATTTAAATATTCCAGCAATGCGTGGTATCGAATGTCGATCACTCCGATGATGTGTGCCCGGGCATTTGTTTCTCTAAAATGTCACCGCTGTCAGAGTCCCCAGAACCGTTTGTTAGGAATACCGTGAGATGACCTCCGTGCCCAGGGCTTTTAACTGCAGCGTGGACGCAAGGCCTTGGGATTCTCAGATTCATCACCGGGCGGGGCTGCCGTGGGTGAAACTGCAGCAGGGGCCTGTTTGTGACGGGTGGGGTGGCCTGGACCCAGCACTTACCTTCCTCCCTGCCACCCCCTGCCCAGTCTGCCGTGTCACTGAAATGGGAGAGGAACATTCTGGTGTGTTGGCAAACAGTGATCACCCCTTGGGGGCCTTTATTCTCTTCTCACAGTGAAGATGTCTCTTTTCCTTTCACTCTGTAGGCACTAGGAATGAAATATTCCCTTAGTTCTATCTTAATGCAGTGGATTTTAAAATTTCAACTTTTAGTCTATGGCTTACATGTCAACTTACTATCTTGTGAGACAGGCAACCACCACTGTCAATAGCTTTGGGGAGCGACATTGGGCAGAAGGGTCACGGTAAATCCCTTTTTTTGGGTCACGGCGTTGGAGTGGGGTTCAGGAGGTTTCCTTGCTAACCAACAGGATTTGGAAACCTCACCTGGAGAGTGCCGAGGAGGAAGAGGGACCTGGGGACCGCAATGCCAGCTTCCCTCCCTGTCACTGGGGTTCGCTGCTGCGGTCTCTCCGCAATGAACGCAGAGATGCCCCTGAAACTTCTGCAGAGCTCTGCCACCGACACAGGGCTCTCCCGCGTGCTCGCTCACCCGATGCTCAGGCACCGTTCGTGGTGAGCAGGGGGTGTACCACTCCAGCCATTTCTCTCCTGGGGAAACTGAAGGTCAGGGCTGTGGCTGGGTTTCGGGTTTCAGGTTTGACAGGCTGTGGCTCATTTTCCTGACAGTGACCTGGAAATAGCAAACATTTTTCTGGTAATGAATAACAAAATGCATATACAAGAGTGCTTGGCATGGTAATAAGTGGTCAGTAATGATGCTCTTATTTTAAGATTAAGCATGCTTTGAGAGGCAGGACATGTGTGATACTTTTGCATCCCATTTCAGGCCCGAATGATGGAACTGTAGCAACTTTGGGTGTTTCAGAGGTAATGCAACTGGTTTTAGAAAAATTCAGTAGGAAACAAGGGCTCCTCACCAAGCCTTTGCATGACAAGTGGCCGTGTGGTTCAGCAGAACTCTTGAAGACCTGGGTTCAAATGCCTGCTCTTCCATGCCAGTGCCCGGGACGCTCGTGACTTGGTTTCCTAAGCTGTCATACAACTCCCGGGCCAAGTAAAATGAAACAGCACGTGCAGATCACGCAGCACAGTGCATGGCACACAGAGAGCCCTAAGTAGATGCTGTTCTGCCCATCCAGGCTTCCAGCCGTTCTGTTTCCTGGCAACAAAGCTGCTAATCATAGAATGAGCTGCAGGATGCATCCTGTTCTCTAATGACGTATTTCTGCCTGTCTTATCTGGCACAAGTGTATCGAGCAAACATCTGTGTGCCTGCTGGGAACAGGGCCCTGTGTTGGGGTGGAGAGTGACACAAAGATGTCCAGCACGGGATCCTGCTGTCAAGGTCACGGCAGCATTAGGACAGTGGTTCTCAGTCACGGGAGATTTTTGCTTTTCCTCACCCCAGGGGGCACTTGGAAATATCTGGTGACATTTTGGGTTGTGATGACTGGAGGGGTGGGATGCTGCTACTGGCATCTAGAAGGTACAGACCAGAGATGCTGTGAGCATCCTACAGTGCACAGCACCGCCCGCCCCCCCCATGCCCGCACAAAATGACAGTGCTGCAGTTGAGAAACCCTGTATCAGGGGCACAGGCCACGCGCAGAAGTTAGCTGATTTGAGAGAGAGAAAATGCCAGCCTCTGCCGGTGGGGCAGGTGGTACCATTTGGTGGGGTCCCAGTGTGGACCTGTGACCTTTGATGTTCCTGTCAAAGGGGGGCTTACAGTCCCCATAGGTCCAAGGACAGTATTATGGGACTTGGCATCGTTACACTTGTGTCAGACCAAAGGCCTGTTATGTACTCACATTTTTAAGCAAGCTTGTAAGCATTTTCCGCGATATTTCTTTTTGTATCAAAAGCATTCATCTGGGAAGTATAAACACTTAAAGTATAGTATACTACAATTTTTGTATTGCTTGTTTGGAAAATTTTAATGCTTCAATGTATCCCAAGTAGCTATTTAAGTATCTACCCCCCACTCCCAAAATGCAAGAAGCCTGAAATTCACACTCTCTGGGAGGCCCAATGAATTATAACAGGAGTAGTGGCAAAAACAACAATATTAATAATGCTTAACCAGCTTTTGGCGGTATCTTTGAGCTCACTGAATGGATACCATGAGCAAAGCTTACCCTCCCAAGCTAAAGAACATTTATGGACAAGAGGTTATCATTGAAATTAAATGGTGGCAGACATGTTCGAGGAATATTGCAGGGATTTGAACCCTTGATGAATCTTATGATAGATGAATGTGCGGGCGTGGCAACTAGTGGGCAGCAGCACAGCGTTGGAAGGGTGGTAATACGAGGCAATGGTATCACCATGTTACAAGCCTTGGAAGGAGTGTAAAGAATGGCTGCGTTCACCACCAGAGAAACCAGCTGCTTCCACGTCCCCTCTCCACATCTCCTGTTTCACTGCAATATAAAAATCGAATCTTATTGAGCTCGGGCTGTGAACCAAAGCATCGCAGGTTCGATTCCCAGTCAGGGCACATGCCTGGGTTGCAGGCCACGGCCCCCAACAACCGCACATTGATGTTTCTCTCTCTTTCTCCCTTCCTTCCCTCTCTAAAAATAAATAAATAAAATCTTTAAAAAACATCGAATCTTGTACATTTTCACATTGAACTTTCGTTAAATAAAGTTTTGTAATGTATAATTGGCATTTATGGAGTTCCTAATATTAGCCACCTATGCTCTAAGTACTCTAGTGTTATCTCTGAAAATCCTTTCCAAAACTCTTGGAAGATAGTCCCTGAGTATTCCCATCTTACTGGTGAGGAGATTGAACCACAAAGCAGATAAGGAAGCGGCTTAGGGCCACACGGCTATTAAACAGGGCGGCAAGGCAGTGGCCTTCACTCTTACTTAGAGGAAAAATAAATTGTACGTTGTTTGTCTTATCTCTCCAACGGCTTCATTCTCTGACGCTCAGATGATAGCAGGGGCCACCCACGCTCTCGCACACCTGCTCTGCACCGGTTTCATCGTAGCCCCGCGCCCTGCACGTCCTGGGTACCCAGTAGCAGGTGGCAGGCAGCGGGGCTCGGCCCTTGCACCCGCCCCAGGGGTAGGCCGGCCGGGTGAGGGTCTTGGCCGGGAGCGCCTGTCCCCGCTTGGTGGCTTTTCCCGCTCAGCGTAGACCCGCGCTAGGTGGCAGCAGCGAGCGCGACGCGGGGCGCGGTCGCCCGGCGGTCCCTCTTGGCCGGGTTGGCTGGCGGGACGGGGTCGGGGCGTTCAGGGGCGTGGCCTCGGGCTACGGGAGCTCTGAGCCCGGGGAGTCGAGCGGGAGAAACAGGATGGCGACCGCAGCGAGCGAGGCGCGCCGGGTGCTGGTGTACGGCGGCAGGGGCGCGCTGGGCTCCCGATGCGTGCAGGCGTTCCGGGCCCGCAACTGGGTAACTCCGCAGGCTGGGGGCAACTCTGGGCCTGCAGGCGCTGGGACTCGGCTGGGGGAGCGGGGCGGCGGCGGGCGGGCACGTTGATGATTGGGGTGAAGGGGCCCTTCCGGTGCATCCTTGGGGAGCAGTCTGGAGGAAGCGGGGCGGGGGGGGTCCAGTGAACCCCACACGTGGGTGTTTGCAAGTACGAGCATAAGTCTGCACGTTTAGTCCTGCCTCTGAGTACGTGCTCGCGCCGGCCATAGGTTTGGGGTCTTTGCTCTGCAAGAAGGGAGGTGGGGGCCACCCCTCCGACTCCGTTGGGCCCAGACAGTCTGGCGTGACTCAGGACAGAATTCCACAGAAGGAGGCAGAGGAGCGCCGCTGAGGAGACAGGGAGAGAGAATGGGAAGGAAGGATCTGGAACTTATACTGCCTGACTCTGGCTTCTAGTCAGTCCTGTTACCGTGAACTGATGGCCCAACTTCCACAAATCTGTTTCCTCTCCTCTAAAATGGGGACAAAGAGTGTGTGACCTTTGGTCGAGTTGTGAGGATTAAATGAGATCATTTGTGTCCTAGCATGCCAATTACCTGGCTCCAGGTAAAATATTTTTAAATGTTAGCAATTATATGTTTTACATATTGAAAGGGTTCAAAAGAGGCCTCCCCAAGATGTGCCACTCTGGCGTGTGAATTATTTTGAGCTGAAGGTAATAGAGACCCTGTGGGTTCAAGAGAAACTTTTACCCCCTCCCTTTAAAAATTTAAATTAGGGGCCTTGCCCCTAATAAGAGTTATTACCAGAGATATATTTTCAAGGACCCATCTATAGGGCAATACAAACTTCTAACTTTGGGACGCATGGTTTGCTTACGGCCTTCAGATGACCTTTCTCACCTCTGAGCCCCCCCACCCCAAAGGTGCCTTACCTCATCCTTAGCTCAGAAGGTCATACGTATTCCATGTTTTAGAAAAGATTTTATTTATTTATTTTTGGAGAGAGGGGAAGGAAGGGAGAGGAACATCGATGTGTGAGAGAGACTGAGTGGTTTTGCCCCTTGTTCGAGACCCTCGGTCTCATGTGCCCCAGCCAGGAACTGGACCGGCCACGTTTCACTTTGCAGTCCGGTGCTCAGCCAACTGGGCCACCCCGGTCAGGGCCGCGTATACTTCGTCTTCACTTTCCGTCTCTGACCTCTGGTGTTTGTGGGGTTCTCATAGTTACGTTTGTAATTAAATTTGGTTATTTTTCCCTTGTTAGTCTGTCTCATGTTAATTTGGTTATTAGACCAGCTGGAAGAACCCAGGAGGGGAGAGGAATGTTTCTTCCCTTCTTATTATAAAAGTACTGACCTACACCCTTGTCCCATTAGCCTCCATTGGACCTGGTATTGGTGGCCTCGTCGTTTCGTAGACTTTCAGCTACTTTGCAAAAGCAGATATTCCCTCCCTGAAGACAGCAGCTGGGAACAGAGTTGTTCTCAGGCCAGGAGCCCTGCCCCCAGCCTCCCAGCATGCATCTGCACGGTCCTGGTGGGGACTCTTCCTGTGCTCCCGCTGCTGCCCCTGTCACTTGCTCAACGTCCATGTTGGACATTGTCCCGAGGGTTTAGTTAGCGACAGGGCAGCCTGGGTGACAGTGCCCTGGGACCAGAGAAAGGGGGTCCCAGAGTTTTCTTCTGGCTCAGAATCTGGTAGAGGAATAGGTTTCTAAGGGATTCTGAACACAGCGCCCCCTTCCTGCCGTGTACCTGCCCTGGCAGCTAGGACGTCTGCGTGGGTGCCAGGTGGTGACGGTTGTAACGTTTCAGGAGTTCCAGCCTGGGGCCAGGCACTGTGTTCCCCCAAAACCAGATCCTGTACAAACACTTAATTTCTTTTACTCTACACAACAGTTTTGATACAGTGCTCCTGTTGGCATCTGCCTGTTACAGATCTGAGCGCTGTGCTCCCCCCACTATCCCCCTCCCCCCCATGGGAGTACTTTGCTTTACTTTTGATTTGGTGTTGGAGCCTGGTGACTATTGTTGACCTTTGACTCTGTCCCCACCCCCCTCACTCCTGAGAGCTCTTCTTTGTCTCTGTATCTGCTGGGGCTGGCTGCAGAAGTGGTGAGTGTTCTTGAATGGCTTCTGTGTTCCTCAACGCTTGTGGAGATCTTTGTCTCTGGGGACATCAGGCTTCAGGGCCCTGGAGCGCTCTAAGAACCGTGTGTCACCTGCCACCTCCCAGCTGCAGCCTCTTCTGTTCCATTTAATTCTCACACTCACCCTCTTAATTGCTCATCCCCAGGTCAGGACCCTCTTCCCAGGGCAGGACCCTCTGCAGAGCTTGAGCTCGGGAAAGCCACTCGAAGGCAGAGCCAGGATTCCAACCCCAATTTGCCAGGTTCCCAAATCCGAAGCTGTCCCCCTGTGGCAGGGATGTGAACTCTAGTCCTCCACGGGCCAGACCCCGCCCGCCGTCTGTTTTTGTACAACCTGAGAGCTAAGACTGGTGTCACGAGGTTACATGATTGAAAAGAAGTCGGAGGAGGAATAACGCCCGTGGCGTGAAGACTGCTTGAAATCCCTACTTCCACATGCGCAGTGCGGTCAGAACAGAGCCCTGCTTGCTCGCTCGCTCGCCCGCCTGTGGTCTGTGGCTGCTGTCCCCTCGCAACGGCAGAGTCCAGCTGTTGCCACAGAGGCCACAGGGCCAGCAAAGCCCCAAAGGTTTCCCCTCTCGCCCTTTACGGAAAAAGTTTGCAGACCCTGGTTGGGGCGGGGATTCTCTGGAAGTGCAGAGTTTGGCTTTCGGAGTGATGGTGAAGGAGAGGAAGATGAGGAGCTGGGAGGCCTCGGGGCTGGGCGGGGCTGGGCGGGGCTGGGCGGGGCTGGGATGGAAGAGGGTAGGCCGGCTCAGGGGTGTCTAGATCCTTTCTCCCGAGGGTTTTCCTTTAAGCCGCTCATCTGCCTCCACGGCCCCCTTTCTGGGCATGGGCCTTAAAGGAATAACAACGTACTGTCTCTTGACCAAGGCTGTTTTCTTCTCCAGTGGGTGGCCAGCATTGACGTGGTGGAGAACGAAGAGGCCAGCGCCAGTGTCGTGGTTAAAATGACCGACTCGTTCACGGAGCAGGCTGACCAGGTAGCTCAGAAAAGGCCACAGCACACCTGGGGGAGGGGAGCTCCAGGGGAGGGGGAGAGGTACCCATGGGCGATGTGGTCTTCAGTTTTACAAGTATCGTTTCTCTGATTATGGAAGCCAGATGTACCCAGTGAGGGAAATGGGGAAAGTAGAAAAAAAAATACAGTGAAGATAAATTGCCCATAATCTATTTCTAGTTAGCTGACTAATCACATTTTAGCCCATTTTCTTGTGTTTCCTGTGGTTCCTGTATGTTATTAGCATTACAAGTTGAGATAATCTTGTATTTTATATCTTATGATCAGATTTTTAAACATTTAAATAAAATTTTATGTCAGTATTTCTCCAGATCACTTTAAAAAAAAAACCCTCCATGTCAACATGTAGTTTTTAATTCTGTGGATTGGCCACAGTTATCTTAGTTTCCACATGTTGTACATTGAACCTTTTTTGCAATGTTTTTATATTTACCATTAACAAGAATACTGTGGTGAGCATCTCCCTCTTCATCTCTGACTATTTATGTAGGACACATTCTAAAAAGCGGAGTTCCCTAGTGCAAAGCAAGGATCCGAACAAAACAGGTTATTTAAAATGACAGGCTCATCATACAACAAGAAGTCAAACAAAACTATAAATATGTCAGCCAGTGGCGCAGTTCCCCTGGTGGCCCCGGGGTCATGCCCCCGACCAGTAGGCAGCACTGTGAACAGCCTGCTGGAGGGGTGTCCTGGCATCAGTGGCTGAGATGCTAAGTGGTCCCCCAAGTGCCCGAGGATGCGCTTTACTTGGTTCTCCACCCAGGGGTCCCGCCCACATTCCCCAGGGAATGCCACCTAGGTGTGATGGGCCACGTGTCCACGAGCACTCAGGGAGGCGGGCGGGCAGGGGGTGGTGGCCAGCCCCATCTGTCCCCACTGGCCGAGGGGACTCAGTGTCAGACACTAGGTGACATGCCCAGCAAGGTTGCTCGTGGTGGAGTCCGGAGTGGATCTCCTAACGTGAGACTTGTTACCAACTTGTTAACATCATTAACATCGTTAACATCGTTAACAAGTCCAGAGTCTGTTTTCTGTTTAGTCTGCTCTCGCTAGTCATCCGGACACGGCTGGGGGCCCGTGTTCCTTTTAGAAATGAGGCACAGACAGGCCCCGGCATTTGCTCAAGGTCCAACGGGCGGTGGGTGGCACAGCTGGGCAGTGGGGGCTGGACGTCCACTCTCCTTACCGCAGGCTAGGCTGCCTCGTGGCAAACAGCTCCCTGTGAGTAAAGTAACAAAAGCCAGACTTAAATGATCAGATGTCAGAGGTGCCCTGGGCTCCGAGAGCAGCTTGGCCGTGCGGTTCCCGGCAGTCGGTGTCTCTCCTGCTCCCGTCAGCTGCAGGTTCCGCCGTCTTTCCTGGGCGGGAAGTGGTCCCTCTCTGGGACTTGATTATGCATGTGCTTTCAGACTCTTCACCATCTTCTACCACCTGCCTCCCCTCTCACCCCCCGTTAAGAATTTCTGGACAGCAGCACGCCATCCAGGCTTTAACGCTCGAGAAGAGGAAATTCAGCCCCAGGGCACGTGTAATTGGATAATCGGCCCCCTGGGCAGGAACTCCCTAGTGACAGTGAAGACATGCAGGTGTGAGGAGGGCATGAAACCTATAGAAAGACTCTTGGGCAGAAAGTGAAATTTAAAGGGGGCTGGAATTTAAAAATGCATCGATGTGAAAAACAAACAAAAAAACCACGTCCAATAGATGCATCGTTGCTGCCGGCGCCATGCTTTCCTACAGAGTGGAACGCACAGACGTCAGGGGTGATGACGCAGCCGGGCGCTGGGCTCCTGGCAACAGCACAGGGCTTCAGAGTGAAAGGAGGGACCGGCCAGGAAGCCAGGGTGACGGGAAGGAGGCCAGCAGCGGATAAGTCAGGATTAGGTGAGGGACTCGTCCACAGAGGCCAAGGGAACTTCAGGAATTTCTTAAGAGGAAAGCTTTGGGTGTGGGGTGGAGGGAGAGAGAGAGGAAAGGCTGGTTTCCATTGCCAAAGTGTTATCTTTGGAAGAGTGATCGGAGGGACCGAGGGCAGGGCCCCCGTGTTCCTGCTGAGGCAGACACATTGTCTTGCGAGGAGTCTTCAGAAGCCTGACGGAAGGAAGCAACGGGAGGCCTCCTCTCGGCCTGCCCAGAGAAATGGGGAAAGGTCGTGGCTGATGGTCAGAATTGCCTCTCGCCAGACTTCTGTTTAAATATTTTCAACACTTCAACTATTTCAGTCAAGCAGAAATAGATAAATAAAATGCACCCTCATGCACTCAGTAGTGACTTAACATTTTGCCATTGACCGTATCTTTTTTTTTTGCTTTAAAAAATAATTTCTTTTTGGCATTTTCTTTTAGAGTTTCAGATAAAGGGATTTTTTTTTGTATTAGGGAAGAGTAGAATTATCTCAAATTATGAATCTGTGATTTGCAAAGAAAAGTCTGCAGAGGTATATGCCAGAAGGTTAGCTGCAGGCATTGATGCTCTAGGTGATGTTTTAAACCTTTTTCTAGTTAAAAAAAAAAAAGAACTGTGTTCTTCCAAGGATGCTCATGGCCCCACTGTTTAGAATGCTTGAAAGAAGATTCTGGATTGCTTTTTAAGACTCACATGGGAATGTAGGTGGGCTTCACTGTCCAAAATGGTTACCGTACATCTGGTTTTCCAAGTGTTAATTGACAGATGCTGTTGAATGCCTTAGAAGAAAGTGGAGAATAAACTGAAGTATCTGTGTCAGCCCGTTTACACTTACCCGAACGATTTGTGCATGTTTTCATGTTTTTTTGTTGAAGGTGACGGCTGAGGTCGGCAAACTCTTGGGTGAAGAGAAGGTGGACGCCATCCTTTGTGTGGCTGGAGGATGGGCCGGGGGCAATGCCAAGTCCAAGTGTGAGTCCTTTTCCGAGTTAATCATTCATCCCGCTCTGCTCTTTGTCCGGGGGCCGGGATGGGTCCGTGATGCGCGCCAGGCCAGGCGTCCTCCTGCGCGTCTCCCAGTGTTTGCCGTAGCTCTGCGGGGTAGAAACAAACACCCCATTTTACAGACGAAGAAAACGCCCCCCACAAAGGGACTCAGGGGCGGGGGACCTTGAGTTTCAAATTGAGTGGCAGAACGAGATCCGCATATTCCTGCCCAGGTGTTACAGGGCTTATTACTGGGAACTGGGGGATGTGTGTGAAATGGAGAGATCGCTCCGCGGGTCAAAAGGACTCAACATTGAGCCTTTGTGAACGCTGAATACATTTTTCAAGTTTTCACTGTGGACGTTCAAGCCGGAGGGAGAGTCCAGCAAACACCCATCCCCGCCCCGAGCCTGTAATAGACGCAGTAATCACCAGCAGTGGCTGTCCCTGCGCTCTCTGGCTTTCTTTTCTTGCGTGCGCCTCTGTGCGTGTATTTTTTAAGTGCTTGCCCAGTAAGTGGACACTTGACCGATTTCAGCATGCATCCCCAAAGGATAAACTCCTTTCCCTACATTATCCAAGTACCATTATCCTAACAAAGAAAACTAACAGAAATTCTATAAGATTGATAATATCCAACTCATATTCAATTTCCCCGACTTATTACACATCTTTTATAGGTGTTTTTTCCCCTTAAACATATTCCAGTCACGGTTTATGCCTCATTTTGTTATTATTTTTTTTTCAAAGATTTTATTTGTTTATTTTTAGAGGGGAAGGGAGGGAGATAGACAGAGAGAGAGAAACATCAATGTGCGGTTGCTGGGGGTCATGGCCTGCAACCCAGGCATGTACCCTGGCTGGGAATCAAACCTGGGACACTTTGGTTCCCAGTCTGCGCTCAATCCACAGAGCTATGCCAGCCAGGGCTCATTTTGTTATTTTTACTGTCTTCATCCAGAATTTGTTTTTCCTGTGACAGACTCCGTGAATGTGGGCAGTTTTCATAGAGAATTGTCCTACATATGACTGTGTCTCCTTCTTCCCTTAAGGTGTGTCATTCACCTTGTTCCTCTATCCCTAGTATTTCCTGTGACCCAGGATTTAGGTCCAGGGACTTCCTTAGATTCAGGTTTAATGTTTTGGAGGGGAGAACTCTTCCTGAGTGACGTGCACCCCCACTGACCCCAGTGGGACTCCCACCGTGTCGGGTGGCCCTGCCCAGCCAGAGCGATGCCAGATTTGATGCCTGGCTGAGGTGGGAGCTGAGAAGCTTCCATTGGAAAGGGCCATTTTTCTGTCTGCAGTGAGTAAGCGATCCGTGGGAAGGTGCTTTGGCATTGTGTGTGAACACCCCCTTTTTAACACCTTGAGAATTCCAAATTTTAAAACCTAAGGCTTTTATGCATCCATTGCTAATTTCTGCCTGAATCACTTATTCCAAGGGGGTTGGAAGATGGTAGTTTTCCGGTTCTGTCATTTCCTCTACATTTATTAGCCAAAGCCGTATAAAAAGGAATCGATTTTCTGTGAACCGACTGCACTTGAACGTGAAACTGGTGTTTTGTGGGGTGATCAGGTTGGCCAAACACCCTGATGGCCTTTTGTACACTTTGGGAACAAGAAACGATAAATGTGGGTCCATTTTTTTCTGGTCCTTTTTAGCAGGGAAATGTAATGCCTTGGTTATCACCAAGGGAGGACCCCTCCTGGTCTATCGGGGGGCCTTTCTTTCTGGATCATTGGCACAGCGGCTCTGGGTTCTTTGTGCTGTGTAAGGGGGGAGGGGACCACTGCCCAGCCGCCAAAGGTACAGGTGTTACCCTCTGTTTCTCCTCACGTTGTCTGCAAGGCCAGAGAGCTAGAATAGGTGTGAAATGGTTGTCATTCCAGCTTTCCTTTACGGGGTCTTTAAAGCCGGCAGTGAACTTCCAGCTGTAAAAAAAATGTAGCTCTATAAAAGCCCTTTTTATATCCGCGTGGTTGTGGTCCCTCAGTTTTTATCACAGGGAAAACCTGCCGTAGACATACACGTTCTTATTACAAATCTGATGCCCTTCGTAAAGCAGAACAGTCTTTGAATTAAAGCCAGTCCCAGGTGTCTGTTCACCGTCCTCATTTATGTGACTTCGCTGTTACCAGTTTACAGTGAGGGAGCTGAGACTCCAGGGATCGGCTGGCCTGGATTCGAACCTGCGTCTTTGCCCATAGAGCCCTGCGCTGTTCGTCCTAGGTCTTGTGGGCAGGGGCAGGGGGCAGGGGCTGGTGCTGCTGAGGACGTCAGCGTCCTGGGCTGGGCTCCCCTTTCAGTGGGCTCCCTGCACGTGCTGAGCCGGCCCGTTGCTCTTTCTCCCAGCTCTCTTCAAAAACTGTGACCTGATGTGGAAGCAGAGCATGTGGACGTCCACCATCTCCAGCCACCTGGCCACCAAGCACCTGAAGGAAGGAGGCCTGCTGACCTTGGCGGGGGCCAAGGCCGCGCTGGACGGGACCCCCGGTAAGCCTTCACTTCCCCAGCTGTGGGCTGGGAGTGCTGGGATTGCTCACCGGGGCTGCCGGGCACTTCCGTGGGACCAGGGACGTGGGGGCCCTGTGCCGCCTGAGGGGCTCTGTGTGGTGGATTTTGCTTCCTTTAGGCCTGAGTCTTCTTCGGAAAGGGACTCCTGATTCTTCTATTTGCATTGCCCTTGTGTTAAGGAGTGCTGTAATCTGGCAGCCCTCCCCCGATCTGGTCTGTTTATCCATGACCCACTCAGGGAACGAGTGGTGGTGTAGTACATGTGGATTATTCGATACACATGCATTACCATCCTCACACTGTGTTCACGTGTCCTGGGGGAGCAGCTCGGCGGCTGTTATTGAGAAAAACAGAGGGGCGGATTCTTCATCCTTGAACAAATCATGTATCTGTTTGGCCAGATTTCTGCTGTAGTTTCTTTCGTTGTAACTAGTGAGAGTAGCCTCTGCCTTGAGGAGTAGCTGCAGAGCATTGGCGGTATTCACGTGCACGAAGTGCCCAGCACGTGGTGAGTCTTCTCACTAGTCACGTCATTTCACGTGTATTCTCATGGGAGATCCTGGGGTCGATGTCATCGTTAATCTTTCCCAACGCACCGGTGAGGAAACTGACCGAGCGTGGTCAACTCACCTGCCTGGGTTCTTGCAGTGAGCAGGTTGTGATCTGACCTTGGACCGGGACGCGGACCGGTTCTGGGTTGCGTGCTGTTCCGTTGGGTCGTGCAGACCCGGGTTCCCTCTGCAGTGTTTCCCTGCCCGTGTCCGGTCGCCGGGGCTGCCGTAGCGGAGCACCCCCGGGCGGCTTCAGCAGCAGAAGTTTGTCTCCTGATTCTAGAGGCTGGAGGTTCAGGATCAAGGTGTCGGCAGAGTTGGTTTCTGGCGCCTCTCCCCTTGGCTTTGCCGATGGCTGTCTTCTCCCGTGTCCTCACACGCTCTCCCCTCTGCCCCTGTCTGTGTGCCCGGCGGCGTCCCAGTCTCCTCTCATAAGGACACCAGTCATCCCACCATGGGACCCACGCCTGTGACCCCATTTTTAACTTAATGACCTCGGAAAAGACCCCATCTCCAAATACAGTCCTATTCTGGGATGCAGGGCTTGGGACTTCAACATATGAATTTTGGGGGGGGGGTCGTCACAGTTCAATCCTTAATACTCCCTTTCAGATGGGATTAAAGGAATTGAAGTGGGACTTAGGGGGTACAGCACAAAGGCAGAAAGGGTCCACCTCCACTGTCTAAGTTCAGCTCTTCTTTAATAAAAGGGGGGGTTGTTTTTCGACCTCCTTGGTGTGCTGGAGGCCTTGAGCACCTTTTTCAGTTTGACTGTAACTCGCGGAACTGTGAGGCTCTTACAGATCAACAGTTCCTAGCCTCTCATCTTCTTGTTACGTTTCTCAGAGCATCTGATCTTGCAAGCCCGCGGCCATTGCAGTCCCTAAAGCTGTGTAAATGTCAGGTGTTAGCGTGCTTAGCTCCGATTTTTATTACAGGCGACAGAGAGCAGACACATGAGAAAGTAAACAGAGAAGTGAGTAATAGCTTGACATTTAAAGGAAAAAACCCTAGGACTGAAAGACTGATTTTTCGGAAGGACAAAACAGTCTCCTACTTCCCTGTGGTTTGTAAATATCTTCCTTTGTAGTTTTGGTTACTGTTAAAGACTACAGGCTCGGGGACTATACAGGTTGGGTTTCTGTTGTGATTTTGCCACTTGCTGTGTGATATTTGGTAAGTTATTTAACCTGTCTGAGCCTTAGTCTTGCCACCTGTGCAGTGGGGATAAATAATAAAAATCCTTTATGCGGTGGTGGTGACTGGAACACATCTTCGTGGGTGTGACTGACTTAGAAAGGTGTGACAGGGAGTGAACTGTAAACATGAACCAGGCTTATTACTGACTCCAGGCTTGCTGTTGCCTGGCTACTCTTGCTTCAGGTGTTAATGAGTGCGCTGTTCATCTTGAAGTTCTTAGCTAACTAAGCACTTGTCAACTGTTGATATTGTCAAACTTATTGGAGTCATGGAACCTTTCAACTTGGATTCAGACCCCAGCAGAATCTGGGGAACTCTGTGACTAATTTGAAAGTAAATAGTGAAGAGGGTTAGTAGTCTTCCAAGCTGGAGAAAAGTGCAAAAGCGGGGAGATATTTTTCACTTGGAAAGATACTGAGAAACCCCCACCTTCTTATTTCCAAGGTTGTGTCTGTAGATTATCTAATGGCGGATACACTGTATTAAAATGAGCGTGATCACTTTTGTTTTGCTAGGTTTGGAAATCAGTTTTGAGGGACTACCTTGATATGGGAATAAAGTATTTATCTTCTTACGAAATACTTCAACAAATTTTTTTTTTCAAATTATCTCCATGCCTGTACCTGCATGTGTAGAATTCGGTGGAATTAAACCCTCAGGGTTGCTGGTTGCTTGCGCCCCTCTTCATCAGACACCCCCCCCGCCCCCCCGCCACCACGCCCCTGCTACCCCCTCCTGTTGCTATGCGGGGGCGGGGCTGGATGAACAGGATTCGTGGATTCAGGTGCCCTGGATGTTTCCTACACTGTGGGCCCCGCCACTGATCAAACAGAGAAGCCGGGATGGTGAAATACTCTGCTTGTGCTTCTGAGTAACTGTTGGGGACCTTGACCGCTCTTGCAGTCCAGGCTTGCAGTGGAAGCAGTTTAGCGATTGGTTCCGTGCCTGGGCTGTGAGCCCCACCTCTCTCTGGACTGCGATGCCTAGTCAGCTGTAGTACTTGAATGAGCAAGTGTCCTGGGTGCTTTCAAAGAGGCTGCCGCCTTCTGGGAGGAGTTTTGTGCAGGAGGAGGGGCGTTTACAGCAATTAACCGATCTCTGCTGCGTGACAGACAGTGGCGTGCAGTGAGCTTCTGCAGCTGGGGGCCGTGGGGGGCTCTAGGGTGGAGAGACCCTGTTGCCGCCACCTGTCTGCGGAGCAGGCAGAAGCCTGTCCTGATGAGACGCACGCCTTGCTGCGGTCCACAAACATTCACCGACCAGCGGAGCAGAGGAAGACTAGAGGGCATCATATGTGCATTTGTCAGAACCGCTCAGATCTGTTCTTTACACAGGGAGTCGGACTCTGGGGCACACCGCTTCTGTGAATATGATGGGAAACATTTATTGAGTGCCTCCTACCCTGTGCTGAGCCCAGAATTAGACACTTCATCCCCATTTTATAGATGGGCTAACTGAGGGTTGGAAGGGCGATGAGAACTTGCTCAGGATTTCTTTAGTGGCAAGTGGAAGACTTGGGATTTGAACCTGTGCAGCCTGACTCCAAGTGACAGCTCGATTTTGCTCCCAGGCAGTGAATGGTCCAGGGGTTCGGAACCCAGCTCTTGCCTGGGCCTTTGCCTCTGCATCGGCCTCGGTGCAAGTGTGTGTGCGTGAGCTTGGGCATGTCATTCACCCTGTCCCAACTTTGCTTCTCTCTCAATAAAAATAAAAACAGGGTCAACTTCATGGCTTTTTTACATAAATGTTAAGTGCGAGGTGACAGTAGGTGCACTTGACGTGTTATATCCCTTCCCCGCTCTCCACGGATGTCCATCCTTCTTCCCAGCCTCCTTTGGACCCTGGCGTGGGGGTCTTTGGACACGCCAGTGGTGGCCCGCGGTCACTGAACGGTTTCCTCCCCCTTCCCCAGGGATGATCGGCTATGGCATGGCCAAGGGCGCCGTCCATCAGCTCTGCCAGAGCCTCGCGGGGAAGAACAGCGGCATGCCGCCCAGGTCTGCGGCCATCGCGGTGCTGCCGTAAGTGCTTGGGGGCTCTCCGGCCATCTCTGCCCCGGGGCCCTCTCCCCCAGGGACTCAGTGCACCACATAGTCACCCCTGGCCCCAAAGAGCCTCCTTCAGGAGTTGGGCGAGCCTGGGCAGGCTGGGGCAGTGGACTGGCTAATGGAAGGGTCTGCCTGTCCTGCCTCTTTCTTGTTTCCTTTTTTGACGTTCATCCATCCCCCCAGCCCTTCCTCCTAATTGAAGATAGTCTGCACGTTTTTCTTTAATATTGGTCGCTCTCCTCTCACGTTACGGTAGGGCCACTGTGGGAGGGGGCTGTATTCAGTCCTTGGGGGGTGGGTGGGAAGGAGCCTGAGGGAGAATATGGGACGCTGGGGGCGACGGCCCTGCTCCTGATCAGGACGAAGGCCCCCTCAGCGGAATCAGGGGAGGCAGCAGCCTGGAGGCAGGGGCTCTCTTTGGCTGGACAAGCACCATCTGGCTTACCTGTCGCCTGCCGCCCCGTGAAGGAGCTGTTGGGACGGCCAGGGGCCTGGACCGCCCGGTCCCTTTCACGCGTGTGCCACTCCCGCAGCTGTTCTGAGTGGTTCCCGAGGCCTGGGGGTTCCTGGGAAAGTCGCACGTTCTGTATTCTCACTGAAAACCCTAAGATCTCATGGAAAACAGCCACAAAACGCCTGGCTGGTGTAGCTCAGTGGATTGAGCGCGGGCTGCGAACCAAAGTGTCGCAGGTTCAATTCCCAGTCAGGGCACATGCCTGGGTTGCAGGCCATGACACCCAGCAACCGCACATTGATGTTTCTCTCTCTCCCTTTCTCCCTTCCCTCTCTAAAAAATAAATAAATAAAATCTAAAAGAAAAAGTCTGTGAATACTGAGGATAAGAACTGTCTTTAAAAGAAAAAAAGAAAACAGCCACAAAACGAAGAAGGCCGTCTTTTCCCCCATGTTAAAGGCATGGTGTTCTCACACTTCAGAAATCCTCAGAAATGAGTCTGCCACCTTGTAGGGAGTGAATGAAGATGTCGCAGTTTCCTTCATTAAAGACTGCATGGTTTGTTTTTTTTTAAAGCAAGATGTAGCTTTTCCTTTTGTTCCCTTCTGCTCAGGGGTGAGTCACAAAGCCTCTCACCGAGCACAGCTTGCCTGTGGCCTCTGTGCCTGCTGCGGCTTCCTGGCCTCTCTCTGGTTGTCCCGGGTGATCTCTCCATGGAAACGCCGCCGCCCTGCCCTGGTGCCAAGGCTCCCGGTGCCTTTTCCTGGCGGGGGAGGTGGGCAGCGGCCGTGACAAAGGCAGACGCAAATGACCAGCTCACCTCTGCTCCGCAGGGTCACGCTGGACACCCCGATGAACAGGAAGTCGATGCCCGAGGCCGACTTCAGCTCCTGGACACCCTTGGAGTTCCTCATTGAGTGAGTGTCACGGTCTCACGTCAGCGAGCACGCAGCTCCCAGCCCCCTTTCTCTGTCCCTGAAGGGCGTGAGGCCACGCCCGTGTCCTCCCGGCTTATCGACACGGTGGTGGTCTCAGGAGTTCGCGGCCTCTGAGTGTACAGGGTCCACCAGTGGGACTCCCCTGGAGAGGGGCATCGGCAGGCCAATGGAGCCGTGCCCCAGCTCTGCGGCCCTTCTGGGGGCTGTAGCCGTGCTTTGCTGTTTGAGCCTGTGTGTCGTCCCCTCGGCTCGGGCAGCCCTCGGAGGGGTACTGGGAAGATCTGGCAGCTACACGTCAGTTCTGGGCCAGGAGCTACACGTGAGCTCTGAGGGATGTCCCGGGACCTCCTGAGTGCTTTCCAGTAGAGAGGGCCCAGGTCCCGGCCGGCGATTGTTAAGGGGATGGTGCACTAACACCCAAAGGTGACGTTTTAACAGTTACCGGCTACTTGTTCAACCCCGTGAGTTTCTTATGCCTTTTCTTACTCCTGTCTTCTTCCAGACGGTATTCTCAACTCCTTTAGGCAGGTCAGCTGCCCCTCCCCACACAGAGTTAGTTACTAAGTGCTCCTATTTAGTATTTAATGTATTTTATTGTAGTAGTCTGTTTTTTGTATTTCATTTCCCATTGCCTGACACAGCTGTGGGTGTTCCATAAATATTTGCCGGAGAGAGAGAGAGGGAGAGAATGAGTTTCTTCTTTCTCTCAAATATCTGGGAAGGTCATATAACAAAGCATTAAATATTTTGCATATATTTATCTTTTAGAATGAACTAACTAAAGCTTTAAAAAATTGCTTAAGATCATACCACTGTGTTATAAAGTATTCCAACAATGCAGAAGAGCACAAAGGTGGAAGTTCAAGTCTCGCCAGATTCTGCCACTCAGAAGCTGGAGGGAGTCCAGGGCTGGGGTCACTGGGCCTGGCACCAAGTGTGGGATGCCCTAGCGGCTTTTCTCAGTGGCTCCACCCTCCCAGGCCGTGGGTATGACTACAAGCGTGTGCCAGATTGTTGTTTTAAAACGTAAAGCTTGTCTTGTTTGTTCCAGAACCTTCCACGACTGGATCACAGAGAAAAACCGACCCAGCTCCGGGAGCCTGATCCAGGTGGTGACGACGGAGGGACGGACCGAACTCACCCCGGCATATTTCTGAGCTCCCTGCCCGCGCCGGCGCGGGGGCGGCCGCGGAAGCCACCGTGACCCCGAGTGGCCGCGCCTGGCCCTGTGTCTTCGGTAACCCTGACTGTGGTACAGGCCCCGAGGCCGGTTTTTCTCTCACCTGATGTGCATTCGCTCCCCTGAGGCAGTGTCAAGTGTGCGTGTGAAATAAAAACGTGCGGGTGGAGGCCTGTGGGTAGCGGCGCCCTCCGTCCGTGCTGCCCGTCTGAGCGCGGAGGTTTCTGCGCGGCCCCTCCGTGTCGGCGTCCCGTGGGAGTCTTTTGAGACTGCCCGTGTGTCCCTGACCATGTCTGTCGGCCGGACCGGTCCAGAGATTCCTTGGCCTTGGGGACATGTGACTTACCGTTCTGTCACTGGTGTAGTTTTCGCAGCCTCGCATTAAACTGCCTTAACCCCCTTTCGTGGTGTTCGCAGAAGCCCGTGCACTCTGCCAAGGTGTCTTTTTCCCGTGCGGTGGCCAAGCGTGCGCGAGAGCCGCTCGTGATTATTTGGCGATTATCTGCCTAATACATGCGCTTCGTGGGCTGCGCCGTCTCCGGTGGTCGCAGTGCGGCGTGTGCGCAGTTGCAGATGAACGAGCTGGAACCCTGGGCCGCTGGTGGGCGGCCTTCAGTCGGGGTGTTCGGAAGCGGGCGGACTTGGCCTGCGGCGGGTTTTCTCAGCACAGGGACGGCCCGGCTCTCCCGCGGGCGCGTCGGTCCGGGCGGCGGGCTGGCCCTGTGCATTCAGACGCAGCACCGCGCGGGGCTGGTACAGGCTGTCCTGACTGGGGACTGGGGGCCCGACCCTTCGTTTTACGGATCAGGAAGCCGGGCCGACTTACCATCCTCGTTGCCAGAAAGTGGCAGAACTAAGCCCAGAAGCCTGGTCACCAGCTGGCCACTGTTTAAAAAGACCTTTTCCACGTGTTTTCTTCTTTGATTTCTTTTTAAAAAAATTTTATTGAGATCAAATTCACATAACAAAAAATTACCCATTTTAAAGTGAAAAATCTAGTCTCATTTAGTATGTTCATGATGCTCTGTCACCACCAGCTCTGTCTAGTTCCAAAACGTGTTCATCGCCCCAAAGTAGAACCCCGCACCCTGGAGCAGGCACCGCCCCTGCCCCCTGCCCCCTGCCCCACCCCCTGGCAAGCACCAACCTACTTTCTGTCTCCATGAGTATGGATGTGGTATGTGAATAGAGGCACGCCTGACGGGGACTTACGTGTCTGGCTTCGTTCCCTTGGCAGGGCTTTGAGGCTCCTCCGTGGTGTAGCAGCCCTGAGGACTTCCCTGCGTTTCGTGGCTGAACACCGCCCTGCTGTCTGCACGGGCGACGGCGCGTTTATCCATCCGTCCGCCCGGGGGTGGACCTGGGGGCTGCTTCCGCCGTGGGCGGTTGTGAACGGCGCTGCTGTGAACACTGGCGTCCAAGTCCTCCAGCCCCTGTTCTCAGTGCTTTTGCGTATGTCCCTCGGAGTGCGTCGCTCTGCCCTCTGGTAGTTCTGTGTAACTATTTGGGGAGTCTTTCTCGATCCTTCACATTTATCCTTCAAGGTGATAGCTGAATCTTACAGGAAATAAGACGGGGGCTCAGAAGGGTGGAAATCATTTGTTCATTCACCCAGGGTCGTGGTCTGGATGTCTGCGCCCCCTAAATGCCTGCGTTGAGATCCTGATGCCCAGCCTGGCGGTGCAGGAGGCGGGGCCTTCGGAAGCTGAGCCCCACCCCCGACCTCTGGGAAGGGGAGAGGCTGGAGGTGGAATCCACTGCCGGTGGCCACAGATTTACTCAATCACCGGATGCTGTTTGGAGAGCTGCTGGGTTGGTGAACTCGTGCAGGTGCCGGGAGGGTGCTGTCCTATGGGCGGCGGCGAGGCTGGGGGAAGGCAGCTCTGTGCCCTTCCCCCATACCACGCCCTGTGGCATGGTCTTGGAACGGCCTGTTCCTGAGTCGTATCCTGTTAAATAAGCCAGTGACCCAGTGAGGGAAACGTTTCTCTGAGTGCTGGGAGCCAATGTAGGGAATTCATGGAACCCGAGGAGGGGGTCACTGGAACCTGCCGTCTATAGCCAGTTGGTTGGTCAGAAGCACAGGTGACAGCCTGGACTCACAGTTGCCACCTGAAGTGGAGTGCGGGGTACATCTGGTGGGACTGAGCCCTTGACCTGTGGGATGCGACGCTATCGCCAGGTAGACAGTGTCAGAACTGAGTGGACGTGGGACACCCACTTGGCGCTGGAGAATCGCTTGGTGTGGGGAAAGCACCCACAGGTTGTCACTGGTGCCAGAATCCTTGCCTGGCAAGCTCCTTGGCCAGCCCTCTTCCTTAGCGTCGTGCCAGAGCGACGCTAAGACTGCGTCCGGCGTGTCACAGGCAGACGGGTGCCGTGGGGCAGCGAGGCTGCCTGGACGGCAGGCTCTCCGCCCCGTGAGGCTCGTGGTCTGGTCCCTTTCTGGAGAGGCAAGACTTAGGGGTGGGCCCCCTGCCTCTGCTCTTTGAGAAACAGCGTGAGCACCGGAACCGGAAAACTTGCTACTGAGTTCTCTCCATCCCTCACTGTGCTTCGGCCCGACACGTTCACCTGCTCCCGCAGTGGGCCAGGCGGTCCTTTCCCACAAGCCTCACGGCGGGGGGGCGGGGGGGGGCGTGGTCCGCCTGGGAGAGCTCAGGCCTCGGTGCTTCTTCGCATGGACGTGAAACATGCCTGCTGCGGAGAAACAGACTTTTGGTCACTAAACATTTCATGCGGAGTGCTTTGTCTTTTTTTTTTAAACTTACTTATTTCCATGGGTATAGGCAGAGCTAACATTTTGAAAATGCCTTTGCTCCATCATTTGTTTGTCGTGTTTATTCTGTATCCAAGCTTTTCCTCTCTGAGCCCCAGAGCAGACTTCTCAGAGGCCCAGGAGGGGACTGCAGTTCAGGTCGACGGTAGCTGGGGAGCAGCGGAGAGGCGGGCGCAGCCTGCATCCGACCCCCAGCACCCGGTGATGGCGGGCTGGCTCTTAGGTGCCCGTGACTCAGCGGCACTGCCAGCTGAGGCGGAAGCGTGACTGGCTGGCTTGGCCACACGTAGTTCCAGTGTGTTTCGGTGATGCTTAGAGACCGATGTCTGGGACCATTTCCTAGATCCTTCAAAGACAGCCCCCACGGCTATAACAAAACAGTTGGCAACTAGGAGATGAGTCCGTTTGGGAGATCCGATTAATGCACAGCAGAGCGATTATAGTCAGCAACACTATTATGTACCTCCAAGTGGCCGACAGACTAGACCTTAAGCGTCCTCCCCACGAAGAGAGAAATGAGGATTGTGTGCTGTAGTGGGGGTGTGAGCCCACGCTGCACCGGTAACCAGGTTGCAGTCTACAGATGTATCAGGTCAACACGGTGTACACCTGCAACTGACCATGTATATGTCAGTCACGTCTCAGGACAAACAAAACAATAGGACAGACACCATCTTTGGGGTGTGTGTTGCCCGCGTCACCCACAGGGCTGTGTGCGTCCTGGAGGCGCTGAATGTCAGGGCTTCCCCCGAGACTCCGATTCATTGCTTTCCTCTGACTTCAGCCCTCAAGAGCCTCACCCAGGGAGCTTCTTGAAATCGCATTCTTGGAAGCCTCCCCAGTCCTGAGTCTGTAGTTGTCGTGTAAAACCACATGTTCATTATCTATTGCTGCCCCAAACAAACCGCCCCAAAGGTGGCAAATTGAAAGATTTGGTATCTTTCAGAGTTTCCGTGGGTCAGGGATTTGAGGGCCTTGGCTTGGGGTCTCTCACGAACTTGCTGTCCAACGTCAGCCGGGGCTGCGTCCCCCCGAAGGCTTGAGTGGGCAGGGCGTGCACTGTCGGGAACAGTTCAGGACAGGAAGGACCTGCCTCCCCGACGAAGGTGAAGACCGGACACAGGTCTTCACCTTCCCTCCCGCCCCTTCTCTGAGAGCGAGGGTCCAGGGGCTATGCCGTGGCTCTGCAATGGCTCTTCCTGGGTCCAGTCCCTCCTCTGTCACGGACGGGAGGTGGTGTTCAGGGATGCCGGTAATGGCTTCCCAGCCGCTCGCTGGGCCCAGCAGAAATGGTCCACCGCTCTGCTGGCAGTGTGGGGCTTGGCACCCGTCAGGGGCTTTGCTGTGGGCCTCAGAGGAGACCTGACTTGTCAGGTCCCTTTTGACATCCTGTCCAGTCTGTCACCTCTAAAGCTTCCCTGAACACCAGCCTGCAGCTCCAAGGAGCCTCTGGACCCTCACGTGGGTGTCCCCGAGGTGACCCAAAGGTGGCGTGTCAGAGCTCAGCACGCGTCCCTCTGTCAGTCTGTTTGGGCTGCAGTTACACTCCACACGCTGGTGGCTTATAAACAACAGACATTTATTTCTTGCCCTTCTGGGGGCTGGAATTCCAAGATCAGGGTGCCAGCATGACTAGGGGAGGGCCCTGTTGGGGTCCCAGGCTTCTCACTGCATCTTCACATGGTCGACGGGGCCAGGGAGCCCTCTGGGGCCCCCCTTATAAGGGCACCAATCCCATGCACGTGGGTTCCACCCCCATCACCTAGCACCTCCCTCCCGAAGGCCCCACTTCCCAGTCACTGTGGTGTTGGACATTGGGATTTCAACTCACACATTTGGGGAGGACATGGACAGTCCAGCCACGACAATCCTCGGGAACCAGATATTTCCGTCTTGGGGGACAGCACAGGCTAGGAACCGCGTGTCGCCCTGGGGCCCCTTGCTCTCCCTGCCTCCTCCACCTGGCCCTTCACCACGCCCGCCCATGTGGCCTTCCCATCGTTCCACGCCGGGGCCCTCCCTCTGCCTCTGCGTGCCATGGTCCCCACCACCCCGGCTCAGCCCTCCTCCCTCACACCTTCTCCATCCCCGGGCGCCCTTGTGTCTGTGTTGCCCCCACGCCAGGAAGCTCTCAGTGGCGAAATCCCATCTCTGACCAAAGGCTGGGCTGGGCTAGCTGTCCCTCTTCTCATCCTGGGATTTCCTGTGCCATCGCTGGACACCCCTTGGGCCCCACCTGCATCCCATGTGCCTGCAGGTGATCCCAGCCGTGGCCAGGGCCGCCTGCTCCGAGCAGGTGCGAGCTGTGGCACCTCCTCAGTTGTCCCCGCCTCTCTTGCTCTCTGCCCTGTGCTCGCCTGACCTTGGGCTGACGGGGGCCAGGCACAAACCTGGGAGGGCGAGGGAGTGCGCGCTCCATGGGGCGACTTGACCTTTGGGGCATAGGACTGCCGTCCCCTCTTCTTCAGACAGTCCCTCTGAGGCCCCTTCCTCGTGGCTCCTCAGAAAGTCCCAGTGGGATCGAGACCCAATTGCACATGTGGTCCAGCTTCATGAAGGGCTGTGTGTACTGACCCACCTTCTGCCCGGGTTCACTCTCCCTGGCCGTAACCCCCCATCCCTATCCCCAGGGCCACGTCC